CTAAATCAGTAAATGGATTCCCCATCACTCAGGTTTAAAGCCCTTTTGTCATCATCACATTTTCTTTGAATAATCCACACTGAGTCACATTATTCCCACCTTTAAAGAGAAAAATACAAAATATCTACCACATAATGTCCAAAACCCGCCCTCATTCATGGCCTGTGTGACAACCATTCCCCCTCACCCCTGCTAACAGATCTCATGTCCAGCCATAAGCCGGCCTCTCTATTTAATGGGAGAAGGGCTCAGGGAAATGCTGTTGCCCTTCACTCAGTGATGATGGGTGTGGTGGCGCATTTCCCAGCTCCGACTGGTGAGATGACAGGGAGAGGAGACTGGGGCATGATGCCCTTAACTGTGGTGGCCAGCATGATATCAGAGCCATTATCCACAGTAGCAGCAGAACAGGAAGTATTGGAAGTTCCTGGGCAATCAACAACATATCTGACATCTGCAGTTACCCAGAGTGGCCTGCCTCATGATGCTGTGGAGCCAACCCAACTATCACTGCTTAAGCTGCTGCTCACTGTACTTTACAGATGCAAACATTTCTAATTCGCAGGCAAGTCCCTGCAGTCTGTCTTTCCTTGTCCTTTACACACACAGCACTTTGTTGTGTCCATGGGCTTTCTTTTCACCCATCTTCTCCATCTTCCTGGTGAGTGCTGTGTTTCATGTGCTAGCTCAAACATTGCTTCCTCAAAGAATTATTATTTTATCCACCAAAAGTCCTTGATTATTGTCACCAAAATCATATTTTCCCAAGTAGAATGACCTGATTTCTCTTTCGCTTCATGGATTATTTTTCAATAACACATGTGACTTCACATGTCAACTTGTCTGGGCCAATGAATGCCCAGAGAGCTGATAAAACTTCATTTCTGGAAGTGTCTGGATAGATTTGTGAAGGTGTGAAAAGATAAATACCTGAATCCTTAGACTGAAAATCACCCGCCCTTGTGGGCAGCACCCAGTCCCTTGAGGGTCTGAACAGAACAAGCAGGAGGTGAAGCCTGAGTGTACATTCTCTTCCTGACCTGGGATGTCAGTGCTCTGGTTCTTGAATCTTTGCACTCACACTGGTACTCACACCTGTGATCGCCTTGGTTAGCAGGCACTGAAGGGAACTATATAATGGTGACCTGAGGTGCTCTGCTTGCAGACAGAAACTGAGGACCTTCTAAACCCCATAATTACCTGAGTCAATCCCTCATAATAATCCTCTTACTGTGTATCTGCATTTATCATTTGGTTCTCTTTCTCTGGAGAATCCCGACCAAAACATCCATTATAAAATGATTACCTGTTTTTATCTCTTATACCAGACTTTGAGCACCTAAATGCAAGGATATTGTACTCACCATTATACTTTCAGATCCTACGACAGCAACTGTCACATAACAGTTTTAGGTTTTATAAAATATGCCTTTGATCATAATAGGTATATACATTATCCATGTATTTTGGATAGAACTGGCCTATATTTATGTAATTCTTTAAAAATACTAATCAGCTCAAAACTAATCATTAAGCCTCAATTGAACACTGATATAAATTGTTTAACACAAAATTTATATTTATCAAAATGGATAACAATCTTCAGAAAATGTGGTATAGAAAACTCACTACATATAATCCTTGTCACACTTTTATGTTGTTTTCAGTCCTGGCTGTCACAACCTAGAAGGACAGAAATATTTTGCAGAGAGTTGAGAAGAGTCATTGACCTGGTAAATTGACACATAAGGCTTATTATATTTCCTTGAAATTACACCTTCATCTAGGTCATTTACACTTCCTGGGGAGAATGTTCCTCCTTTATTATCCATATGTTAAAAAATTCTTTGGAGGTTGGCATTGTCATGTAATGGGTTAAGCCACTGCCTGTGATATTGGCATTCCATATGAGCACCAGTTGAAGCCCCAGCTGCCCCATCCACTTCTGATCCAGCTCCCTGCAATTGTGCTTGGGAAAGCAGCAGAAGATGGCTCAAGTGCTTGGGTCCCTATCACCCACATGGGAGACCTGGATTGAGTTCCAGGCTCCTGGCTTTGGTGTGGTTCATCTCTGGCCGTTGCGGCCACTGGGGGAGTAGACCAGCAGGTGGAAGATTCTCTCTCTCTCTCTCTCTCTCTCTCTCTCTCTCTCATGCACGCGCTCTCACTCTCTCGCTCTCTTCCTCTATCTCTCCCCCTCTCTCTGCACTTCTGCTTTTCAAATAAATAAAATTGATCTTTTGAAAAAATTCCTTGGGTCCCACTTCCTTCATGAATCATTACCTATCTTCAGCCTTGATCAGACTCCTTCTTTGAAGTCCTATTCTGTCATATAACATATTTAGCATCAAATACTCATGAAAAGCTTTGTTACAAGAGCAAGGGGTAGAATGACTTGGATAAGGTCCAAGTGGTGCTCAGGAGCAGATGGCACATGATCTCGAGTCAACTTTGGATTTGCCTTGGATCCAGGAAAGGGACTTTTTTTTAAAGAAAATTCCTTAGTTGCTCTGTGGACTACAGACTGTAGGGGTGAAGAGTAAAAGCAAGAAGACCAACCAGGAATTCTCACCACATTCCCAATAAAAGAAAAGCACAGCCTGGACTATGTCTTAGTGTCAGATGTCTTGAGAAATCATGAGATGTGAGACATACTGTGAAGATAACATGATCCACTTCGTGGAACTTGTGTTTTGGAGTAGCAACCTGTGTTTGGTTCCTGTTCCTGCAACCAACTATCACTAACATGATAGACAACACATGTTTATGAGATTGTGGTTCTAGAGCTCAGAAGTCCAAAATAAGTTGCACTAGGCTAAGCTCAAGGTACAGCTCAAGGCTGCGATGGTTTCTTTTGAAATTTCCAGGAGAAGCCAACTGCATTCCTTGGCTCATGGCTCCTTGCTCTGTCTTCAAGGTGAAACACTCCAACTTCTGCTTCCAGTACCACATGTCTCTTTTTCTGTCGCTCTGTTTCTATTGTGTGTCTGTGACATCAGTGTTTTAAGGAATGTACTATGTATATTTCTTTTTTAAAAATTTAAAAGAAAGGAATTTGATTTTTACCATAAAGAAATGGTGAATATGTGATGATATATTTCTTAACCCTAGATTGAATATTGCATGCTGTATATATGAATCAAAACATCACAAGATATCCCATAAATACATATAATTCTCATGTGTCAATTAAAATAAACATATATATAGAGAGAAATTTCTGCTCAATTCACATAACAATCCTTCTGCCAGATTTTGAACACATACTAAAAGGTTATGTATCCAAAAGATACATGCTATTGCTCCACCACCAAAGCTTTAAATGACATATTAAGGGGCTTCCCTGTGGTGCAGTGGGTAAAGCCACTACTTGCAGTGCTAGCATCTCAAATGGGTGCCAGTTCAAGTTCCTGCTGCTCCATTTCTGATCCTGTTCCCTGCTAATGTGCCTGGGAAAGCAGGGGAAGATGGCACAAGTATTTGGGCCCCTAAACCCCCATGGGAGACCAGAAAGAAGCTTCTGGCTTCCAGCTGGCTCAGACCTGGATGTTGAGGTCATTTGGGGAGTGAACCAGTGAATGGAAGATCTCTCTCTTTCTCTCTGCGTCTGCCTCTTTGTAACTCTGTCTTTCAAATACATAAATAAATCTTCTTTTAAAATTATATATTAATGCCGGCTCCCCAGTTCAATAGGCTAATCCCCCGCCTGCGGCACCGGCACACTGGGTTCTAGTCCCGGTCGGGGCGCCAGATTCTGTCCCGGTTGCTCCTCTTCCAGGCCAGCTCTCTGCTGTGGCCCGGGAGTGCAGAGGAGGATGGCCCAAGTGCTTGGGCCCTGTACCCGCATGGGACCAGGAGAAGCACCTGGCTCCTGCCTTCGGATCAGCAAGGTACGCCGGCTACAGCACACCAGCTGCAGCGGCCACTGCAGGGTGAACCAACGGAAAAGGAAGACCTTTCTGTCTGTCTCTCTCTCACTGTCCACTCTGCCTGTCAAAAAAAATTATATATTAAGTCTGTGGAAGCCACTGCTTTGCCCCACCTAGATATTGTTCCAGGAAATGCCCTTGCCAAGCCCAGAGATCATTTTCCTGTTCTGCTTTTAACTTGTGCGTGACTGCCACACAGATTACAGGTTGAATTCATGTAAATTGCTTCCTAAAATAGATACCAGAATTGAAAAGAGCATTAAAGAAATTGTCTCTTCATCAGAGCCTAACACTCTTAAGGAATAGAAACCTGAAAATGGCACACAATTTCATATTTGTTGTTTATCTCAACTGACAATTACCTGTAAGTGTAACATGCAGATTAATCAGTTCAAAGCAAATATAAACTGCTTTTATTAAAAGCTGTGTTTCGAAATATTTATCTAGTAGCCATGCAAAATTACATTGCAGATTTAATTTGAATTTGTGAAATATAATGGTATATTAGATTAAAATTTTATGTCTCTTTGGCTTCAGATTTGGAGACTTAGAGCCATACCTAATGCCCTGTTACTGTCCTCAGCTCACTATTATCTATTCTCCGATGCACCGCTATCTACTCACTACTATCTATTCTCACTCCTATCTATTCTCTGAATTGCCTGCAAATCATCTTTGTTACAATTCTTTCCTCAACCTTAATTTTCGTTCATTTTTTTTTACAGTTGCCTAAAAACTTTTTTGAAACAAAGGAGAAATAAACTCCAAATCAACCAAGCTTCGTAAATTATGCTTTTTCAAAAATCTAGTACAAACTTTTCAAGTTTTTGGGGCTACAAATTGTATGGCTCCAAGAAGCACCGTTAACATATGTATCATTTTCATGACTGCTGGTACACCAGAGCATTATAATATTTTGTTATATTCCTATTATGAAGGGCTATTTATTCTGTCTTTCTGAATGGAGATTTAGAAATAGGTGGTGATGGTTCTCTAAGTGATAATTGATAATCGCTTGAAACTGGTTTCTAGACCGTGAAGTATGGCTATTGGGAAGATCATCATCCTTACCTGAACTGTGGTTTCCTGCCAGTAAGGTGGGGCTCACGGAGCATCTTCCCAGCCGGCTGGTGACTACAGGTGCACCTGGTGTTCCATCCCATTCCTGAGCTTTGACAGGCTCTCTGGATGAAGATGCCCCATGGTGGCCTCTCTCTTTGCTGTCCAACTTTGGTAATGGCTCCGTGCTGTGGCTTCGGACTTTCAGCTCCTCTGTCGATTCTGTGTGGATAACCAAAAGTGCATTCTGTTAAACAAAAGTCAAATTCTTCCCTCCTTTTAAAAAACAAAGATTAATTTTCAAAAATGCTTTCAGGGCCGGTGCCATGGCTCACTTTAATCCTCTGCCTGCAGCACCAGCATCCCATATGGGCACCGGGTTCTAGTCCCAGTTGCTCCTCTTCCAGGCCAGCTCTCCTCTGTGGCCCAGGAAGGCAGTGGAGGATGGCCCAAGTGTTTGGGAACCTGCACCTGCGTGAGAGACCCAGAAGAAGCACTTTGCTCCTGGCTTTGGATAGGTGTAGCTCCGTCTGTAGCGGCCATTTCGGGGGTGAATCAAAGGAAGGAAGACCTTTCTCTCTGTCTCTCTCTCTCAATGTCTAACTCTGTCAAATAAATATTTTTAAAAAAATGTATTTAATATATTGTTAGAAACAGACTTGTGTTGAAGATTGCAAAATTAAAATAAACTAGAGACGTAAATACCTTGAGATTTTTTTTCCCCTAAGGTGTTTAGGTTCATATTTCTGGGAAATACAGTTTTGTCTATGGAAAAAGTATGTCACTGGATTTTTACTTTAGTAATTTTTCCCTCATGCTCATCTCAAAGAAACCTCATAATGAGCATTTCATGCTATTCTCTAGTTGCTTATTTTTTATTCATTTCACTGCTCACTGTGGCATGAACTCAGCCTAACCACTCTACTAAATCTGCTTTGGCTAAGTTCACCTTGTGCCGATTGGTTGGCAAATGTAGAAAATATTTCTCAGCCATTTGACAACTCTTCTATTATGCAATTATTTCTAACTTCAGTTTGCTTGGCTTCAAGGATGGTCCATCTTGTGTTGTGTTCTATGTCTAGTACCTTTTCTGTACCGTTAATACTTTTCTTTCTCCACATGTCCCTTACACATTGGCTGTCCTCATTCTACATAGAAACTTCCTGAGATTTTTATCCTCCAGGATTCCCCAAGCAATCATAAGTTGTTAGTGATTCCTAACTATTTTATCAGAAACCCAGATAAATCTCTTTAGCTTCAGATTCATTTACCCAACAACCTATTGGAGGAATTCATCTGGATGCCCCATGGATGGCACAAATTTAACATTTTACAAATTGAGTGAATAACTTTTCTTACTGAACTTATGGTTCCTCCTGCCCAGCTCACCATCCAAGTCAGAAGCTTGTTTATCCATTTCTTTAACTGCTACTCTGCAAATCAGTCAACTAGAAGATTTTGCAGGTTTTAGTCCTGAAGATCTTCTCCTTTCTTTTCTGTTCTGTATCATGTCTGGCTCAGCTGCTGTGGTTCAAGCACTAATTAACTCGCTCGAATTTTAGCAATTTATTTCCTTGACTCTGCCCTTGATTCCCCAAAGCACATGCACTTTATATGGCCAACATTACCTGATTAAATTGTAAATTTGATCATCTTGTGCCTCTGACTAAAATCCTCCAGAAGCCCCTTGTTATGTACAAAATAATGTCTAAGCTCTTTAATGCAGCCCACAAGAATTTCCAATCCTCCTCTCTTCCCTCCCTTTCTAACTTTGTCAATCTCTGGTGATTACTGTATTCAAAGAACAGCACTAAATGGGTTATAGCTTCTTCTTTCCCACTCCAGCTCCCCCAAAACACGGCTGTTTTCTAAAGCTACTTTTACCCCTGCTTTGAATGTCCATGTATTTTGTCTTCACTTAATTCATTCTACTTAGCATTATAAATATCTTCTGAAGCCTGCTCCACCCATGTCACCATCTCTGTAGGGTTATTCAAGTCTGTGCATTGAAACAACCTCGTATTTTCTTTTTATGTAACTGCTCTCCCCAAAAAGTCCTTTGAAAGTAGTCATAAGGTATGAGGGTTTTTCTTAGCCCCTAGCATATTGCTAAATAGCTGCTTAATGTATTTAATGAATTAATTCAGTAGACTTCCCAACTACTCGGGCATCTTTGTGATAAATGAAATAAGGGAAGAATATTTAGAAATATAACATTCTTACTGGGACAAGAATATCAAGTGACAATAAACATATTGAAATGGCATGGAGCTAACAGTATTTTCAAAAATCTGATTATCTAATCATCACGTTATAAAATTCACTAGGTTTGAAATTTTAATTCAAATAATGGATTTTTGAGAAAGGCTATAGTGAAAATATGACAAAAGCGATTCAAAGAATCTATTTTGTTTTCTTTACATTGAGGTTCAAATACTCATCAAATCATCACCTTTCAGCAGGGTGATAATAAAAAAATCACACTTTGGTATCCAATTGTCTGAATCTGTGGAACAGAAATAAAACAGGTTATAATATATTGAGCAGCCTGGGTTAGAAATATGAAAGGCCTGGGTATTGCATCCCTGGCTGATGACCCGCGTGCCACAGCATCTGGTTTCTTTTAGAGTCTCAGTTTCTCTTAACTATGAAATGGAGATAATGCCAGCCCTGTTTATCTTCCTGGATTTTACTTTCAGACTCAAACAGTATTCTACATTTTAAATATTTTGAAACCTAAAAAGTGTCACATAATTTTTTAAAAAATAGTATCCATTTAAATAAAGTATAGCCATTGGTGATTTTTTTTTTGATTTATTTATTATTTTTAAAGTCAGAGTTACAGAGAGAAAGGGAGAGACAGAGGTCTTCCCAGATGGCCACAACAGGCAGCACCGTGCCAGACCCAAGCCAGGAGCCAGGAGATTCATCCAGTTCTCCCACATGGGTAGCAGGGGCCTAAACATTTGGGCCATCCTCTACTGTTTCTTTCCCAATCCGTTAGCAGGGAGTTGGATGGGAAGTAGAGCACTGGCGACATGAACTGGTACCCATGTGAGATACCAGCACTGCAGGAGGCAGCTTTACCTGTTACACCACAATGCTGGCTCCAGCCCTTGACAAATTTTTCAGTCTTCCTACATTTGTCTAGAGATCAGTAGAAACAGTATATAAAAAGGAATATTGCCAGGTTACATATAAAATTAGAACTCTGTTTTCTACAGTAACCCATCCAGACAGCCAATCTCCTAAATCCAAGTCAGACTTGTAGGAAGTCAGACCACTATCTCTAACAACCATTACGGACAGCCAAATTATACTCTCCATAACAATTAGCCCCAAACAATAAAAGCTTGATTGATAATTGGCAACTTCCTCAATTTTACCCTAGTATCTAACTTAGTAATAACTTGGGAAAGCCAAATATGCATGGTGAGCCAATGACAGGATGCACCACTTCTAGCTGACCTGTTTACAGGCCTCCCAGGCCAACTGCCTCCAATCAGGGCATACTCAAGCCTCCCCTTTGTTAAAAGAAATACATTAATAAAATTAAATTTAGCATAGTTTATTTGAGCAGAGAAATGATTCATGAATTGGGCAGCACCCTGAACCATTAAGGATTCAGTGAGCTTCACTCTGTAACATATGTGGGTGGTATTTATAGACAAAAAAAGAACTAGCATAATGAATGACAGTTCAGCATTTGCCTTATTTGGACATGATTTAGCAGTCTGCAATGTGACTGGCTGAAAGTCTGGCAGCTATGTCTGGCCCAGACTCAGCTACTTGCTGGAAGAATATATCAAGTTAGATTGTGGTTTGCTTGCATGCTAAGTTGGGTTGCAGTTCACTACATACAGAGAGATCTTTAGGTCAGATTTAACTCAGTACTTTTCCAACTATAAAGGTTTCCCATTCCTCTGCTTTCCTGGTAGTCTCTGCCAAACACAAGTCCTGAATAAATAAAGATGCTATGCTGTTGTGAAAACACCTGTCATGAACAATGTTTTATGAGCTGAACTTAAACCAGGAGAGTAATTCCATAACTATAATCTCTAAAGGAATTCAGCTTGGGGTCGCCGCTGTGCATAGCAGGCAAGGCAACCGCAGCGCTGGCATCCCATATGGGCACCAGTTTGAGTTCTGGCTGCTCTACTTCTGATCCAGCTCCCTGCTAATGTGCCTGGGAAAACAGAAGAAGATGGCCCAAGTGCTTGGGCCCCTGCACCTGTTGAAATGAAAAAAAAAATATATATATATATATAGAACTAGTGGATGCTGAATATCAATTGCTTTTTGCTTCGGCACTGCGCTGCTTGCTCAATGACTTAATGCAGGATGTCCAGCCTAAGAAAAGGGGAGGGGGGAATAGTTGTACCACCATGACAGGCTTCACAAACTCCAGGAAGACAGGAAGGCCCAATTCTCAGAAAACAAAACTTAGTAAATACTTCCTGAAATTAATGGTCTCCTACTTCCTTGTGTGACCACTTCCTTCTGAGACGTGTAGTCCTGGACTGCTGAGATGCACCAATAAAATGCTCCAATTTAGGTAACTGACATATAAAGAGTAAGGAACTAGCATATGTGTGTAATGAAATATACTTGTTTACTCAAGTGTATAAAAACGCTGAGAAGGAGAGAGGTGGGGCTTCTCACCCCCGCACTGCACTATGTTGTATGTGCTGTGGGAGCCCCGGCTCCTGGCAACAAAATAATCAATCCTCTTGCCCTGCATCTGTGACTGTCTTTTGTGGGTTAATTGGGAAAGGTCTCGGATCCCATAATTCAACATCCGGCGCCCAATGTGGGGCTCGCTCGGTATTGGGACTCCCCCAGCCAACTCGCGAAACGCAGAACAGGAGGATTTTGTGTGTGTGTGTGTGTGTGTCAGTTCTGTCCTAGTGTCTGCAAAACCGCCAAAGCTGGAAGAGCTCCATTTGCATTGTTCCTGGCAGGTGAGTTTTGGAAACGGGATCGGATAACAGGCAGACAGACATGCTGGAGAATCCATCCCATAGCAGGGAGACGTCCCTGGCCGATTTGGTCGACCTTGAGCTTATCAGAGTGAAGTTGTTTGGTGCCAACCTAAGGGGGTAGCTCCCCCGAACCCGGTGTAGTTTTCTTCTTTTTTTGGCCGCAATGTTTGTGTCTCTGTGTCTTGTTTGTTGTGTGATTGTACTAACCCTTATCATTGGAAAAATAGGACAGCGGGTAAG